GAGATTTCGATATACATACGAAAATTTTCATGTATCTATGAAATTTTATATTGTTTTGTTGTTCTAAAAAAAAATTTAAATATAGAACATTGAAATTGATGTCGTTTAATATGTTAGCTTACGTACCCCCTTACCTAATATTATGTGTCCCGGTTTCAAGAATGCAAAAGTTGGCAACACTCGCTTTTAGTGTCTAGTGTTTTTCTAATCATTCTCTAATCGAATATTTCTCTAACATTAGACTCTGTGTTTGCTGGGCAGATTAAAGAAATCACACAAAAGGGAGTCGCCCTGTCCTGAAACCCCGTTTGGTGGCAAACGTCTCGGGGAGGTCCTTCCCAACTCTGGCGGAGCTGGTGCTACTCCTCGACGTCATTTTATATAGCCTAAGATAACTTCTTTCCGTACTGTCGAAAGCGGCTTTGACAAATATATGGTGAGTGTCGATCCTTTTTTCGCGGGTCTTTTCCAAGAAATGGCGTATTGTGAATACCTATTCTGTGTTGGATTTGCCAGGTCTAAAGCCACCCAATCAGTTAGCTAACGGTGGGCTTCAGTCCTTCACACAATACACACGATAAGACCTTGTAGCCTTTGCTTAGAAGGCTGACCCCGCGGTAGTTGGCGCGTATGGCGGGGTCGCTTTTCTTTTGGATTGGACAGAACAAACTTATTATTTCAATTGGTAAAAGTAAAAAAGAAATCCAAAAAAGCATCACGCTTTTTTTTATTTAATAAGTTCGCCGAGCCTATTTCTCATTTGCTTACATAAATATCTGCTGACTACTGTTTGTTTGGCGATGATGTATTTATTTATACAACCTCATTATGAATAAAGATAGCAATTGATGATGTGTCAATACATATTACAGGGTGACACAATGGTATCTTGCCGAGTTTTAATTTCAACACAGCTTTCTTGTGTAATCCTTAGCACCAAGATGGTAAAAGGAATATTAGGAACAAGTTTTTGACCTAGCTCTTCCTTAACTCTTCCTTAAAAGCCCATTTTTCTTTGTTGGTATGTATTAATTCCTCCTAAAGAGTGAGAAGGTAATTTATTTTTGAACTAATTTCCATCAACCTGTATCAAGTTTGATTTGGAGTGCCATGTTGCGTTCTCTGAAAGAAGGCACAACGCCGAAACCGGTTTGTCTTCAAGTCCCACTTGGCGAGGGATGACGGAAATTTATTCCAAAATACATTAGCCTATTTTCGCTTCCGGGTGTTAAAAGATAAATTTATAAAACCTTTCTTATATTTTTCAAAGCTTTGTTCCACCCTGTACATTAAACAAGCAAAATCGAATAAATGCTGTGATATGGCGGTGTCACAAAACACGCCATATAATTTATAATTATATTCGAAAAAGGTTGGATTTTAATTTGACTTTGATATATTAGTAATATTCTCACCACCTTTACTACATACATGGAAATGGCTATTAAATACAAGTTGCATGTGATATTGGTTATATCGAATGCTATCAAATGATAGTAAAATGAACTTAAGCCCTTTGGGTGCGAGCTTCCTCGTGTGTTTGAAAAAAAAAAGAATTTCACCAATTTGTAATTAGCGTGGACTTTTTTAGAATGAGACAGCTTTAAATGACTTATGAATCACAGATAAAAATTAATGAATGTGGTGAGTAGGTAAGTACGTATGTATGTATGTACTACATATGTATGTATGCATTAGGCATGTTTCGAATGTCATATTTTCCACATTCGCGAATGCGAATGCGAATTTTAGGAATAGCAATAAAAAAGCTATAATCAACATAAGTAATCGTTTTCATTACTTAAAAATTTTGTAAATTATTAGAACATTTAACGATGGTTTAACCTATACAATGCTTTAATCTAGTAGTCAAAGTTCAAAAGGCGCATATTATATGTATTTCAAAAAAAGTAATTTTGCTGCCTTTTCTCCCATCAGGCGATTTCTTAGAGGCTCGTATATAAGGCCGGAACGCATGCTGCTAGAGTGCTCAAATCGAGAGGATTTTCACCAGTAGGACGCAGTGGATGAAGCTAAAGACAGACAGCACAAAACACCGCACTACGGACAGCGACCGGTACAGGCCTCGAGCGGCATTTACAGGGCGTCAGTTTCAAGTTACGTGGACTCCAGACCTGTGAATGCCGTTCTGGGCACACAACCACTAGCCATAGACGAGACGGAGCTTCGTCTGCCTTGGGAGACACGGACCATAATAGCCCAACTTCGCTCTGGCTACTGCAGCAGGTTGAACTCATACCTGAGCAGATTAGATGCAGATGTGTGGAGAGACACCCCACGACTCGAGTCATCTCTTCGTATGCCCGGAAAACCCAACGCAGCTAACGCCTCTGTCCCTGTGGACATACCCTATAAAGGCTTCACGCTTCTCGGATATTTCGTTAGTTGAGCTTGACGACATTGACTGAGATACTAGCCGATCTGGGCGGGGTTGTTGTAGCCGGTACAACAACAACAACTACAATTTTCACCGAGTTTAGCTGGTTCTTCTTTAAGACAGGCCTTCAATTGGGCTTTAATTTCACATTTTTTTAATGTCTCCAGATTTTAAAATTATTTCTATCAATGTTGCTTCATATACTACTTAACCGTTTAGCGCCTGAAGCTAAAAGCCGGTTATTGTCCGCACCCAGATTAGACAGACTTAGGGCCGGTTGTTAAATGTCTGATTAGCATAAATCGGAGGTAGAAGCTCCGGTTAAATACAACGACTGCTTTATCGATCACATGTTATATGCATGATGTCGAAAACGTTGATAATGATGTTTAACCGGCAAGTAGTGATAACCAGACATTGGACAACCGGCCCTTAGAGCCATTTCAACAATATTACAGTGAACTCTCTGCCAATGTACACATTCGCATTCGCAAAACATTCGTATCATTTGATGCGAATGCGAATGTGTAAAATAATACGAATCATTCGCATAACGAACGCGAATGCAAATATTCGCAACATCCCTGTTATGCATTATATGCATGTCTGCCATGCAGATGAGAAAATTTGTGTTATTTTCATTAACAAAAATATATATAATTATCACCAGCACCTGTTGATTGAGCGCTAATAAGTAAAATTACCTTTGCACCATAGGCCTAAGCTGCTAGCGTGCTATAATTATTAGTGTAATATTTTATATTGGTCTAATAAATAAGTAATAACATAAAAATAATAAGTAATAGCAATAATAATAATAATAATGCCTTATATCCAAATTTTATTTCGTCTGAAAATTATTTACAAGTACAAAAATAACTGAAAATGTTAATGCGTAAAGCATATATGTAATTTATTAAATTTGCTAATCTAAAGATTGAATTCAACAAAGGTTTTATACAAATACAATAAATATGTAAACCAACAAATTATTGTACATAGATATGTATGTACGTTTATAAATTAAATTATAAACATCTTCATTAGTACTTTGAATGCTATATTAAGATTGTGCAAGGCAAAATTATACTCTAGTTACAAGTCGGCTACCTGATCGAATAGACAAGCCCCCTCGCTTGGTTTTTCGCAAGTTGCTTTATTCGCTTTCGGTTTCGGTGATAAATCTGGTGATTTCATAATTTTCGACACATGTATTTATTTGTTGTTATTACTACAAAGTCAGTTTGAGAAAGGCTTACCGTATCAGTAAAATCGCGTTCCATAAATTCTTATTCTGTTTCGAGTATAAGTAATTTACGACGCTACACTTAAGCTTTAATGGAGCTGTTATTGTGTCTAGCCGGTAGTTAATTTTCGGGTAGAAACTCACAAAGATTGAGTAGGATCCTATTTAGGTGGGTAAGCTTCTGGGTATCAAAAATTAATCCAGCCTTTTCGTCAAGCACGGGCTAGATATTTGGGAACATTGCAGAAATTGGTATTTAATATTTAATATTTTTTATTTTTATTTTTATTAAAGACTATTAGAGCAGTTTGCCACCCTGGCAATAAGAAATTAGCAAATTAAAGTCGTTTTGCATCCAAAAACTTGTGCAAACTTATTTACATTTTCATGCCGTTATTGATGAATTGCATGCTATCATACAGAGAGTCTTTGCTGAACTCTAAACTATTCTGCAGCCTTTTGGCGGTCTTTAGCCTAACCTTAGAAATGTCTGGACACTCGCAGAGAAAGTATATAAAAGCCCCCTTCGAGCTCGCATTCTTACATATTCGTTTTGAAGTTGTGTCGTTTCTTTTTCCATGCACATGCACGGGCCAGTGTCCTGTGCAGACATCCGTTAGCTCGGTTTAAGTGAGCCGTACGTATTCCAGATCATCCAGGTAATTGTATACGATCCTGCAGGGCTCCTTCTCTGCTTGGCTTCCGAGCGCTGAATTTATTGCAGAGCCACACCACAATAGTTCATTAGCAGTCTCGTTCTAGTTTATGTCACTATACCCTGGTACCCATATTGTGATAATTTCGAATTGATCGGAAATAGTGGCCAACTCTATGCTAAAGTTCTAGAAGAATTTTCACCTCCGTTTCCGCGGGCTTAAATGCTTCCAGCTTCAAATTGGGTTGCTCGATGAAAATCTCCGTATCCCTCCAAGTACTGTGCTCCTCCTCAAATCGAGTGACTGCGACTTGTTGGCTTTATGCGGGATTTGTGGTCAGTGCAGAGCTTTAGTGGGACATACATACATAGTCTGTAGGCAACGTTCTAACTCCAGATGAAAGTCTATTTAGGATAATACAATAATAAAGCCTCAATGTCCAGTCTCCAGTTGATTTTGGCGTACAGAACAATTCCAGTTCTGCAATCTTTACACTAAGAGAACGATTTATAGGTCAGAAATTGCACAGATTTTTTTTCTTAATTGGTAATCAGTGTTGCATTGACGAATGTACATAGAGGTTAAACGCGTGGCGTGCTCGAGGTTGCTCACTTCAAACAGTAATAATCATAAATATACATACATAAATGTATGTACATACCAAAAACTTATCTTTATTTCGCTTTCTTATCTGTGATAGATTTTAAGTGTACATAAATATCTCAATCTAAAATACCTCTAAAATAAGTCGGCAAACATACATATGTATGTACATAGTTAACCGATAAACAATCGCAACAACAACAGAATGGAGCATAAAACAATGCAAAATGAAAATAACAACAACCACAATCACAATAGCTATGGTCATGATCGGCCAGCTTCACCACAACTAACTAAGTTAATAATACCAGCGAATAGCGAAAAATCAGCGCTTGCAAAAACATATAATACACCACAAATCGTCGAAAAGGGTGCGACGACACAGAAACCTACAAAAAAGAAGAAGCGTCGGGATAAAAGTGATTTGGGCGATGATTTTGTAGCTCCCGATGGCGGTTGGGGTTGGCTGGTCACCATTGCCAGTGGCATTGCTGTGGTGAGTATGAATATTTAAATTAAATTATTATTCTTTAATTGCTTACTTTGTTTTCTCTGTGCAATTGTGCTCCTTGCAGCTGGTGACATTTGGCTTGGCACAACAATTCGGCATTATCTTTCGAGATTATATGTACAGTATTGGTATCACCAGCTCACAACTGACGACAATTATCAACACACAGATTGCCGTATCGGCGTTGACAGGTACGTTTTTTCTTCTTTTTACTTTTGTGTGGACTTTGATTTGAGAAATTGAAGGCAAACACATATTTTAAAATTAATTTCGTCCACTGAAATTTACTTGCGTTTAACTTTTGAAATTCTTTTAATAAAACTCAAAAGTACGTAGTCTAATAGCCTATTCCAGCAAATCTTAACTGCAGTTAAGAGCTCAGATAAGTACCAATTATTTTAACATGGGGTGATTGGCAAAGTTTATTTCTTACTTTTTGCTTTCATACTTTCGTTTGCTTGTACTTAATATAACCAGTTACCCCCTTCCAGTGATAAACTCGTTTTTACAATGGGCATAAACTGCAGTTAAGGCTTGGTGGAAATGCCCTATAAGACCAATTTCAAATAATATATGAAGTCGTCATCGATACCTTATAGTTGATTGCAATAAATGAAGTCAGATTTTCTGCATTTTCTTTATAAATTTATACATAGTATATACACATGTATACATACATATACATCGCTAGCTTTGAGTAAATTTTTTTGTTGTTCTTGTTGTTGTGGATTGTAATGTCCTCTGTACTGAATTTTATAAGGCTCCTTTGGTTCT